GAAGGAAGGAAGGAAGGAAGGAAGGAACCCTCTTTCACGCCCCCCCCGGAAGAAACCTCAGGCGGCTTCCTGGCCTTGTCTCCAGAGCCAACCAGAAAGAAATACCCACTTCACAATATTTGCCTCTGCTATACAAACACAGGCTGGTTAATAGGTCGCCCCGACCTGCCTGGCACAGCTAGAAAAAATCCTCGCTAGAAATTCTCCCCAAATATCTTGGCCTGCAGTTGTCGTTGTTAAAGAGGAAAAAACCAAAAAACACCACCCATGTCGCAAAAAGCCGTTCCAAACTTCGCGCTCGGGTCCTGCCTCCTGAAGGGACCGTCCAACGACTCGGCACCGGGCCCCGAAACTCCCCTCCAGATGGCCAAAGCATCGGCTCAGGATGAATAATCAGGAATCGCTTTCCATCCGCCCAAATCCTCCCCGAATAAAAGGAAATTTTTTTTTTAAAAAAAACAACCCCAAAATCCGAAGCCCCGAAAAACACACACAGCACTTGAAGCCCCCTGGGAGATCTCCCACCCACTCCCCAGTCAAGCAGAAGCCGAGTCTTCCTTTTGAGGTAGAGTTTTTTTGGGGTCCTTTTGTCTCGGGGGCCAAACGGGGTTTCCAGGTCTCAGCCGGGTTGGATCCTGGGTTCAAGTATGAGTCAGGTAATTTATTGCTACTATCAGGTGCAGCAGCAGGAGGCAGCGGTGGAGGGAGGAGGAGAGGGGGAGGAGGGACGGGGAGGGGGGTGGCGAAAGAAGGGGGGACGGGGCGGGGGATCCCTCGTCAAGACTCCTCGTTGCCGGAGTCGTCCTCGTCCCCGTAGCAGCTTTCCACCTCGTCGTCCATCTCGTCGTCTTCATAATAGTCGTCGTAGAAGAGGTCGGAGCCTTCGTCCGGGGCTGGCGTCTTGGTCTTGACGCAATACTCCGCTAGCGTGGTGGGGACTTTGACTCCGTCCCTTTCGGCCTCCACCTTGGTTCCCAGGACTTGTTTCCTGGAAAGGAAGACGTTCATTTATAGAGCCCTATGTCAACTCCTAAAATATTCCTATGGTCTTTTTAGAGTTGCCAACGGAAAGGGAGGAGGGGGGAGCAGTGCGGCAGCTTGCAAAACCGAAATTGCATTCCATAAATGTTTTCAAAGATAGTAACTAGGTGACGGAAGTTTCTGCCATGCAAAATTCTAACTGGAGAACATGATTGATAACTCTTGGCTATGGATGTGTCCTGTTAGGAATATAAGTCACCTAACAGGTATTTGGGTTAGAAATATATAAACCAGGATAAACATTTTAGTACTATATCTTTAAGGGAATGCAAGAGCATGCAATTGGGTGTGGTTTCTCAAACAGCCATAAGATGGAGCCAGAAACCTGGGTTGTTTAGTCTTAGTCTTAGTCTTGGTCTTGGTCTCAGAAGAGAGTGTGTCTGAGTGAGTATCTCTGTTTCCTTCTGTTGGAAAGTATTGCCGTTGCTCCATTTCTTCTAATTGACTGATATTACTGGATTTGATGTAAGTCTGACACTGAACTGTTTTTGACACTGGAATTTGATATTTGGATTATCCCTGGATTGAAAACCTGACTGATTTTACCTATGAATGACTTTTGGACTGCCTATTTTGGACTTTGCTTAAACCTTTCTGGAAGTAAAAACCTACATTTACTGTACAGTGTATCTGTGTGCTGTATGTGTATTATTCAAACACTTCTCTCAAATATGTCTCCCTGTATGCACTCATTCTCCTAACGGGGAATTACCTCAACATGTCCCATTGGAGGATATGAATTATGATACACCCAGAGGGGTGGGGGGAAACCAGGGTCAAGGGTGACAATGAATTATGTGTCTCAGAGTCGACTACACCCAGGCAGTGCCGGACATGTCAACTCCCAATTAATCCTTTGGAAGTTTTGCTTGAGACTCGGGATTTAATAGGGGTCACTGCGAGAATCCTGACACCCTGGTGGCATCGCGGTTAGAATGCAGGGCAGTTGAATTAGTGACTGTTGGAAGTTACCATGTCACTGAAAAAAAAGTGACTTTTTTTAGGACCCTTTTTCACACAACCATTGCAGCACCCCCATGATCACGTGATCAAAATTCAGACGCTTATCAACTGGCTCCATATTTATGAGATGTCGCGGTGTCCTGGGGTCACGTGATCCCCTTTTGCGACCTTCTGATGGGAGAAGTCAATGGGGATTGCCAGATTCACTTAACGACTGGGTTACTGTTTTAACAGCTGCGGAAATTCGGTTAGCAAAACGTGGCAAGAAAAATCATAAAATGGGGCAAAACTCACTAAGCAACGTGATTTCTGGGCTCAATTGTAGTCGTAAGTCAAGGACTACTTGTATGGCAGGCTGACTCTTCCTTTCTACTGTTTAGTTCGATCCTGACTGACTCAAGGTGACTCAGCTTTCCATCCTTCCGGTTAGAGAGGGGCTGCAAAGCACTGTGAAGCAGTATATAAATCTAAGTGCTATGCTATTGCTATCTCTAGGGCAGGAGTGTCATGCCCCTGTCGGAGTCTGAATCCGAGGAGGAAGACGAACAGCTGACAGGGAGTGGAAGTGTGGCTCCGTTGGCTGTGGAGGAAATTGGGGAAGGGCAAAAGTCTGGCTGGGCAGAGCAGAGAAGAGGTAGAACAAGAGAGAGGAAGTTCAGAGGAAGACCCAGGCCCAACCCCTCTTCATCCTAGGGCACGCAGGGAGGAACGGAGAAGAGAGCAACGTAGGTTGTGTGACTTGCGGGGGAGGAAAGGGCCCTGATTCCCTTCATTAGCCACAGCTGGAAAGAGAGTTTAAAAGAGATGCATGCTGAGTGCGGCAGCTGCTGGGAGCAAACGTGAGTTTATCTTGTTGACTTTGCTTATCAGTGTTCCTGGTGTCTTCCCAACCGTGTTGAGTTATTGCCGTGCCTTCACTTCTGGAATTCTTGCTCCTGCCTTGTCAAACTAATTACCTCATTTTGCCTTGACTGGACTTATAGTTACAGTTTTTGTTGACCACGTTTTGGACTTGATTCTCTGCAGCCAAAGACTGTTTCTGGGAGAGTTTTCCTCCAGCCCAGAAGGTAACCAAAACATTGGGGGCAAAGTTGGAGCTAATCAAAGGAACTCTTATGGACTATCTGCCTGTATGGCCTTTGTGCCATGTCCCGGGTCGTCACAAGGGGTGTCAAACTCAATCTCATTGAGGACCGCATCGGGGGTTGTGCTTGACCTCGAGGGGCCAGGGTGGGTGTGGCCGGCTTGACGTCACTCGTATTGAGGGCGCCTGTGTTGGCCCGAGCGCTCTGCCAGAAAATACGGGCTCCCGAGCTCCATTTTTGGCTGCGACGGCTTCTGGCAACTCTGCCAGAGAAAGCAGAGCTTGGGAGGGCCTTACATTTCTCTGGCAGAGGAACCGTGGGTCAGTCCTTTGCTGTTTCTAGGGCAGCCCCGTGGGCCAGATCTAAGCACCCCATGGGCTGGATCCAGCCCCCTGGGCCTTGAGTTTGACACCCCTGCTCTAGAGATTCATGTCAGCCGCAAGGAGCAAGGATGCTGGGTTGGAGGCAAGCCCACGTTCGAGACCTAAGTGCTGCTGTGGGACAGGGTGAGCTCCAGCTCCTGCTGGGGACATGAAAGCAGACCCCACAGGGCATCCCTCCCTGGGCAACGGTGATGTCACCGGCTAATCCTTACAACCCAGAAGAAAACCAGGGTTTGCTTCTGGATTTCAGTAAAAATGTCCAAACAATGGGCTCGTTTAACAATTCACTTAATGACCATGGCAATTTGCTTTATGACCATTGCAAAAAAAGTAGTAGTAGTAGTAGTAGTAATAATAATAATAATACCCAGATCAGCCATGATTTATGACCGTAATGGGCAAATGCAATAGGGTCATAAGTCAAGGACTACCTGTAGTAAACACAGTACTGGGAGACGTCCAGAGTGACCAGTTCACCTCCAAAGCTGGGTGATCCACCAACCTGATGATGTCCGTGTATTCTTGATCCTTCCCTTTGCTCTCTTTCCACTTTCTGTACATCACTGAAGCGTCCACATTTGCAGGAGAGAAAGTGTTTGGTTCATTCAGGAGTGAGATGACACTAAGGAGAATTGTTCTGATACGGGAAAACATTAAAAAAAAATAGCATATTAAAATAATGCATAATTTAAGTATAGCTACCTGTGTTTCCCCGAAAATAAGACCGGGTTTTACATTATTATTATTATTTTGCTCCAAAAGACACTTAGGGCTTACAGTTAGGTCTTAATTTTCAGGGAAATTCAGCACTAAACGCATCCATCTGGCTGATCTTAACTGGGGCTCATTTTGGGAGCTGGGTTTATACAGGGGTGTGATTCTACCGGTTCAGACCGGTTCTATAGAAGCGGTTGTAACAATTCTCCATAGTTCAGAGAATTGGCAAATCATGCCACTGGCTGGCCCCTCCCCTCCTTATTTCGTGCATGTGCCCTCACGGCCTGCAGTCTGTCTTCGTCTGCCTGCCAGCCATTGCTGCCTGCCTTCCGCTGCGGCCCTTCCTGATCTAAACTCTCCCTAGGTGAATGAGGCTCTGCAAGCCCCAGTCGCCTATATGCTGCTGCTGCTGCTGCTGCCAGCCCCAGTGGAGTCCTGACTCCTGGGCCGGCCGAGGCTTCCACCACCGCTGCCACCCTTGCCGCCACAAGCCCCAGTTGAGTCCTGATTCTCGGACTGTCCTGGGCTGCCACTGCTGTGCCACCGCCATTGCCGCCACAAGCCCCGGTCGACTCCTGATTCTAGTCCCGGGCCGTCCTAGGCAACCAATTGCCATAGCACCGCTTTTGCCCTCGCCGCTACAAGCCCCGGTCGAGTCCCGACTCCCGGGTCGCCGACGCCCTCAGCGATTGCGGCCTAGCTAGCTGCCTCCCTCACCACCGCTGCCTGGCTTGTTTCGCCGCCAGTGCCATGGCTCCATCTCACGCAGCACTCGCGGCCTAGCTAGCTGCCCCCCCCCACCGTCCCCAGCCTCTAGCTTGCTTGGCTTGCTGGTGGCAGAGAGGAAGGCGAGCCAGGGCTGACTCGTTGCTGCTCGGTTCCCCGCCAGCCGGCATCTCGCCCCCCTGCCTAGATTCTCCACGGCTGCTGGGCCTTGCCTGATGGTGGGGGGGTGAGGCGACTAGGGAGCACGGTGCTATGCCGCTCGCATCGCCCCTTTGCCTGCTGCTCCTTCCCTCTCCCGCCGGCCCACGTGCCTTGGCCGAGTGTGCTTTGGCCGCTGTGAAAATGGTGAGAGTCAAGCCTCACCAGAGCGGATCTTCCTTCCCTGCCATTAGCCTTACTTTCCAGTCCCTGGAGCTCGCAAAGTTCTCACAGCGGCAGCCCGCACTTGGCCAAAACACTCGGCCTGGTGATGGAGGAGTGGCTGGCAGAGCAGCAATGTGGGTGGCATAGCCTCGTGCTTCCTGGTCGCCTCCCGCAAACCCCTCCGGCAGCCGTGAGCCGCGGCATCTGCGGAGAATTCCAGCCAGGGGACAAGATGCGGGCTGGCAGGAAGCCGAGTGGCAACTAATCACTCCTTGATTAGTTTCCATCCATTGCTTCTTGTCCTGCTTTCTGGCGCTTTGGAGAATAGCTTGACCCCTTCCACTCTGTGGCAGCCCCTCAGATATTGGAACACTACTATCATATCTCCCCTAGTCCTTCTTTTCACTAGAACAGACATACCCAACTGTTCTACGTATGTTTTAGCCTCCGGTCCCCTAATCATCATCGTTGCTCTTCTCTGCACTCTTTCCAGAGTCTCAGCATCTTTTTTTACATCGTGGCGACCAAAACTGGATGCAGGATTCCAAGTGTGGCCTTACCCAAAGGCCTTATAAAGTGGTATCAACACTTCACCTGATCTTGATTCTCCGCTGGATTTGCTTTGTCAGAAGGTCGCAAAAGGAGATCACATGACCCCGGGACACTTCAACTGTTATAAATGGGAGTCAGTTGCCAAGCGGCTACTGCAATGGTTGTGAGTGTGAAAAACGGTCCTAAGTCACTTTTTCCAGTGCTGTTGTAACTTGAACAATCACTAGATGAAACTTTGTAAATCGAGGACTACCGTATTTGCCGGCGTATAAGACGACTTTTTTGCCCTGAAAAAGATGCCTCCAATTGGGGGGGTCGTCTTATATGCCGGGTCGTCTTATACGCCGGCAAATAGTAATTGGGAAGCACTGCGGCTGCCCGCGGCTGAGGCACTTTTGCGCACCGTGGAAACGAATCCCGTGAAGCCGAAAGGAGCAGCCAGCCTTCTCCCAGCTCCCAAGGAAACGAGGCTCGCACCGCCCG